GGGAGGGATAAAGAAGAGAAACAGGAAATTGTGTCAAGAGAGCGCCGGGGACGGTGGTGGTGGGGCGGGCTGTGTGTGGGTGTGAGTGCGGGTGTGTTTTGCAGTACGACAATGGCAAGACTGTTATTGTTAAACCTAGTCTGCTGTAAGCATTGCGGGAGTGCCCGTGGGGTGAGAGATCTGATTTTTCAAACTGCGTTAGCGTAATGGCGGATGTAATGTGATTGAGTAGTGAGTGTTGATTCACGGAAATGCATGTACTCTGTATATGCACTATTTCACATGGTAAGAGTGTGATTGTAAAACATTATTTATTCACAAAACACCCACCTGGGTGCCTGGGGGGGTTAAAACTAGGAGGATGATCATTCTATTTGGTGGTTTACAACAGCGGCTGCGCTGCCGTGGGTACCTGCTAACTGTCAAGGCCAGCATCAGGGAACATAACCGCTTGCCGTACCGTTCCGTTTAAGAATATGCAAATATTGTTGTAATGTAATGTTACAGAGTGGGAGGCTTCTGGGCCGCTTTATCACATTGTCAGTTCTACGATCATTTATCACCTTACTATTGTTGTAAGTACGTGCAAACGCATGTCAAAAGACCAAAAAGAGATAATAAACAGCCTTCAAAGATATCATTTACATTTCCCTGAAAGGAATGTGTATTTGAGAATGGGGTAATGACAGATGGTCGTACATGGCGCCGAAACCCTCCGAAACAACAACAGTCCTATTTAAGAGTCTGAACAAAATACAATATATACAGATGTTTTTGGATAGATGCATGCAAGCCTCAGATGGATACTCCTCCAGCTAGCTATCGCTCATTGCCGTGTCGTACGTGCCGTACATGCCATGTTTGCGGCAATCACAAATATTTCTTTTGTGCATCAATCAAAAGATTAAAAAACGGCTCCATACAGACATGCACCTTCTAAACAAAACATGCACCTTCTAAACAAAACATGCATATTCCGAATACGCGGGTACCATACGCATGTATATGGTTCCAGGAATAATTGAGGATTCGGTGGCAAGCTGACCGAGTATCTTTCCCCAGCCGCATCGCACACAACCCGCGGGTCACAGCAGCAGTTGCAGCGGATAAAGGCGTGTATAATAATGATCTTGGAGATGCATCAGTCGAAAGCGACACACATACATAGACACTGACATTCACATTCTCATCACGGAGAGACACATCGCTTTTAAACTCGTAACAGAAGTAACAACTCATCAACATCATCAGCTCAGAACGAGCAACGAGCAACGAGTATCGTTCCCCACAACTCTCTTCCCGGCGCGCAAGCAAAAAGTCTATGAATCACGCCGGTTCCCCCGGAGCACGAAGGCAACAACCCTTCTTCGGAGATATATGTGCGCTGGAGATGGCGCCGCATCATCCGAGGCATCAGCGTCTCCCAAGGAATGCCGTACATCTGACCATACATACCCCGCCAGGTCTACAATGCAATGCCGTACATTCGAGCCCAAACGTCGTCCAAGCGAAAGGATAACATTACGACATATTACAAACATCAAGCATCAAACACCACATCAAGATGGCAGCAGTTTAGCAATCGCGTCAACCATTACAATTACTCAAGCCGCCGAGTACGTCTGTCTGTCTGTATCGCATAGCTAGGAGAGCCCTTCAAAGAAGGCGACCGTTACGAAGCAGCCTCCAGGCCGCAGCTTTCATGGTCACTGCACAAGACTCTGAATACCGTACGACCCTCGTCTCATCGTATGTACGTACTTACCCTCCGTACTCCTTATCACGGCCTGTACGGAAAGGTCACTCCCGGGGTTATCACACATCCCCCAAACCCTAAACCCATTATGTGTTCGTCCTTTACCCGTACAAAACAATTGAGTATATTATAAATATCCCATGCGTAACAATGCCTTGCGCGCTTTTACATAATGTAAAAGTCGCGCATGTACTGTCGTACATGAAACACACACGCACATACCCCTTGAGGCCCCTTCCCCCCTGTAATTTCCCCCCTTCCCACAAAAATCTGATGCGACGTTGGATAGCTTGCTTCTCTTATGATATGCTTTGGTACGAGCGATCCGAGAACGCTGACGTAACGCGTCAAACAGTTCAAAACATATTTCCTGTAGTCCCAGACAGTTATATGCACGTATGTACCGCAAAATTCAAACCAAGTGCGGTCCGTCAAGGAACTTCCAAACTCTACTGCTACTGCCGTTGCTACAACCGCTGCCGTAACCGTTGCTACTACTTTCTACTCCCTCGTCAGATGCATGATGACGTCATGTCTCCCATAACATGCCGCCCACCATCTGTCTTTTCGGATTACTCCTCACTAAACCGGCATATCCAACCGCCCGTTTGTCTATTCTACTCGCCAACCCATCCACATATCCGCCCTTCATATAAATTGTATTTATCTCTCTATTTATCCATTTGCACGCCCACCATTTCCTGTGCCTTTTTAGGCACGGGAGAGTCCTCGCCTCCGCTGCCGCTATCACTGTCGTTACGCATATACATCTTAGCCCTGCTACTGCTCACACTGCTGCTAGCGCTGCTACTGCCAACTCGACGGCGGCTACGGCTGCGGTGGCTCACGTAATCTGCGACGCGGTCCAAAGCGCCGTCTAGGTATGCTGCCATTCGGGTTGGCAGTAGCGCCGTCACACCCGGCAGTAGCACGACGCCGATGACAACGCAAAAGGACACGACCCACATCATGCGCCAGCTTTCTCTGTACGTCAAGATGAAACCCGCCACGATCATCAGCCAAACCTGCCAGTGGGAAAAAGGGC